TTTTAAGCCAAAACCAGGACACAGGATTCAAAAATATGGCCGGCACATTGTGATTCAGTTGTCTCCTCAGGCACTGACTTCTGCTGTCTGGTCCCCATTAGTTACTTCGTCTCCTGCCACATAACAGACACCAGGATCTCTGGGTCAAACCGGCCTCCAGCCTCACCACGACCGATTCAATTTTTCTTGCACGCCACCACCGGACCCTGCACCCTCCCCCCATTATTCACAAGGTTTCCCTTGAAACAAATTGCTGCAGCTTCCTGCGGCAATGCATCCACCCAGGGAGCATTTCTTCAGCCCTCCGCACTAACACATGCCCCAGTACGGGGGCAGGAGAGGAACGCATGTACAGGTGGGTGTTTTCAATTTACCTGAACAAAGAGGGAGAGGAGCAAACAGAGAAGATAAACGAGGCGGCGCTGACATAGATCCTGTCACCTCCACAAAGTAAAACATCGACCACTACAGTTAGAGAAGCCGAGAGACACCGAGACTTCTCTTTTCTCTCCCCCTCCCTCCCCTCCCGTCCCCCCCGCCTCCCCGCTGTCAATACAGCCATAACTTTTGACTTCATTAATTCTGGCGTCCATTCACTTATCGTTGCTCTAACACACACATTTTTATTAACACTCACTGCAGGAGTTTAAAATAGCTCAACGCCCCTGATGTGTGTGTGTCGGTGATGCTCGGCTTGCATCAGACCTCAAGTCCACAGCCGGCAAGTTGACCGACACGAATGTCAAATCGATCGTGAGGGTCTGTGGCTCGACAGCCGCTGACGAGATGTACAGTGATGACAATTTTCCATGTGGACAACTCCATCGTTAGTCTCAAATAAAAACGGAAAAAAAAAAAAAAAAATGAAACGATAAATCAGATCTTGTTTTTACTGTTTCGGAACAATTTCAACGATAAAGATTTAAAGTTTATCTTGAAGGACACGGCAAAGGTCGGAACCAAACACTTCATTTCACTCTTCACGAGATGCTCAACTAACAAGAGGTGATTTGTAGAGGTGGAAATGAGGCAGAAAATGAGGATGAATGACATTTAACCGTTCATGCACCACAATCCAGCTGTTCTCCAGCCTCGGAAAACTTCGTTCTTACTCCTCGCACTAAACACCAAGTATACAGTAGCTTAGCATTAAGAAGGAAATTAGCCAAGGAGGCTTGTTGTTGACGACGTGGTCACTGGTGAAGAAACATTTTGATGCAGTTGAACTGATGGACATGGACAGTTGTTAAATGCTCACCAGCTGTGTGGCTTTCAAAACGGAGAGCAGTTAAAATTAAAACCAAAACACCTCGGGGTTTTAAGTGAAGGAACGGTGACTCACTTTTGTCCTTGATTGCTGTAGTTGTTGTCGTACGATTCGTATCCCTGGTCGTCGTAAGCTGTCCCGTATCCATCATCGTATTCCTGGAAATAAGGAGAAATTGCAAAGTGAGATATATAAATACAAATTTTATATCCGTTTTTTGACAGCTTGGTGTGCCAGAGTCAGCCCACAAGCCAGCGGTTTGTAATCAGTTTCTAATCCTGAAATTTTGACCAATATCGGACTGAGACTGATACTGAGAATCAGATCAACCGGGCCGCAGTGGGACACAAAAATGTACTTCAGTTTTACTAATTTTCTTAATACAAAGAATCTAGTCATATCCTTTTATTTACATTGTTTTACTGCATTTTATGTTTTATTTTTATTTTCTAAAATATAACTGCCCTTCAAAAATGGCGCCGTACAGCAGTCCGCAGTAACGGCCGATACCGGCTGACAGGTACAAAAAAGGTCGGGACTGCTGCCGTAGATCACACTACAAATCATACATCTGGTCAGTAAAGATGTAAAGATGAGGGGAAAACTTGCAGCATGTTTCAGTTCATTTTTTCACTGTCTTATTCATCCTACTGGGCACCGCAGTGCACTGCAGCAGATGTAGGCCAGCCTTAAGGTCCTGCTGTCTGAACTCCACCGAGCTGCAACACTGGGAAAACTGCAGCCTTGCCCTTGTCTCCGAGTCAACTGACTGACAGTGGGATGTAAAGACTCTCACTGGGCTACGTTTCATCAGCACCTCAAAGGATGAGTCTGGAACATCTGTTTGTGTTCCAGCAATCTGCCCTCCCTCATCCCCAAAGCCAAGCCAGGCCCCTGCCAAGACAAACATCAAAGAAAACCAGCGCCGCACTCGTCCTAATTTGGGATAAATGGGACTTATGTTCCACAAAAGGCGTCGACCCCTTGCGACACATCGCTCATCCCTGCACACGTACCGGCTAATTCCATCTGCTGCCGATTTGCACGCTCGGAATGAGAGTCTGGAAGGTTTAGCTGCAGGAGGAGGAAGTGCTCGCCGAATAAACAAGACTCCAAATCCTGATTAGAAATTCGGTTTTCGCCAAATGACATGCAAATGGCGTTTGAGTTGAAACTCTTATCTGGGCTATCTGAGCCCATTTTACCAGGGCGTTATTTCATTTGGGTCAACTGTAGTTTTTTCTAAGGCGTTCTCAGCCGGTTCAGCGGTGACTCCTTCATGCTAGTTTTGGTAGTTTGTGTGAAGGATTTGTTTTTTTTTTTTTGTTTTTTTTTTTGTTCTAGCTAAAGAGAATTCAGGTCCCACTTGGTTAAAGCAATTCTGCAGCTACAAGAGCTTTCGCAATGTCAACAATTCCCCATGCAAGGCCTCGCTAAGGAGAGCTGCTGTACTTTTGGCAATATTAAACCCCTGGACCCCATTTAAATGCAATAAGGGCAGCGGTTCCCGAAGGGCTGAGTCATTGTGCGAGACAGGATTTAGTTTTATAAAGTTGTAGACGTTTATTTGCAAATTGCAATTGTGGCAGTTGGCATAACCACGCAAACGTCATGTGACGCCAAGTTCACGAGCAGCACGAATTTGGAAAGTCAGTTGAGTTCCTATATTCTCTGCGACAGACGCGGTTTGTAATGCATTTTAATCTATTTTTAATAAATCCCGTGCTCATGCGGCTGTTATATATTTCCACTGTCACAAACATTACAACATGGCAGGTTTTTAGCCGAGTGTTGGGAGCCTCGGCGGCAGTGAAACTAAAACCTTGCAGCTCGGGTGGTTAAGGATGCCTGGAGGGCAGACAGATAAATCCTCCCGAGTCGAGAGCTGATAAATAATTGCTCATACTACAAGTCCATGATTAGAAATACATTAAAAGACAAATATTTTTTTTCACGAAAAGTAAAAAAGTAAAAAATGCAAAACATATGGTTGTTATTGTTTTCTTTTCTTACTTGTCACTCAACAGCCTTGTTCTATAGCAGACGCTACATTTTCAACAAAGAAAATCAATTTGTCGTTTCTTTTTCTTGGCTCATGTACATATGGATACTAATGTTCCATGAAGGCACCATGCGCCAGGAGACGGCGTTTGATTTTCTTTCAAATAAAGACCTCAAGCATGAGGTCGTGCTGACAGTAATGTTTTTGCTTTTTTTTTTTTTTTGCTCGTCATTCCATGATTCACCAGGTTCAACAACCTACTCATTTGTGAAGCTCAGTTCCCAGCACCAGAAACATCAGCTGTTTATGAATCAAATTCACATATATAATCATATATTTTCTATATCTCAGTTTCTTTTTCCTGATATATCATTTACTCTCGGAGCATCTTCGACAGCAGAGAAGCTCAACATCTTCAGCAGAGCTAAGCGGGATTATTGTGACGGTGAGAAGATGGAGTGAGAGTAGAAGAGAGAGGGAGGGAGGGAGGGAGGGAGGGAGGGAGAGAGATCAACCCCTAAGTGACTCTTTCATTTGTATGCCAGTGGATGGCTGAGAGGCGTGTTGTTAAAAGATAAGGACTGGCCTCTGAGGCCACTGAAGACTAACAAAGGGTCTGGCACTGCATGTTACAACAGCGGTATCACAGCCGCGCCGCTGTGCCTTACAATACCACTGGAACAGATAGGAGGACACTGGAGCTCTGAGCAGGCTTTTCCAGAACCGGATTTCACTTCCTGAACACTGTATTTAATCCAAATGAGTTCAGCACCACACGGCTGCTCGCTCGCGCTACAATTGTGCAGACACGCTGATTGGCCTGTGCAAATGAATCCCGTACGGTTCAAACAGGTCCAAACAGGAAGTTAAAAAAAAGAATCCATTTTGTGTGATTTACACTGCTATCCCTCTCGGACCGAACGAATCACATTAACATCAGGAGACGGTTATAATATAGTCATGAGGTTCTCACGTTTCCAAAAGGAACTTAGTCATTCATTCAGCTTTTCCTGCCAGGGTGAGCAGGAAGGAATTTGCTGAGGCTTCTCTGCTGCGCCGGTAGAAATACTGACTGTGCTATCAGATTGTTGCTGCCAAAAAAGTTGGCCTCATGCATCAAGTTGAGGCATCGCCTCCCTGTGTTACGCTTGACAAATGCCTTTTGCCCCCCCCCCTCTTATTTAACCACCCTGTGATGTCTGATTTGAAATAAACGTTGCCTCCTGTAGGTGAGTAAAAAACAACCAAACAAACAGCACGATGTTCGTTTTACTAACTCAGCGCCACACATACGCCATCTAAATGGTTCATATATCTATATGACAGGTCAATCAACGTAGCGTGATTCTTGTTAAGATCGTGCGCGTGAGTCACGATGAAGTCAGGTTAGCCCAGATTTAGCCCAAAAGTTCTAATAACTGTTACGTAAAAGTACAAAAACGTCTTACCAATAGATAATACCCTTCAGAACAAGTGTATTTGGAGTATATTTATTTATATTTAAGCCTGTTTGAACATGTCTTGAGAAGGTGTTTTCCATTTTATGAAACAAATTATAAATAACACAGGGATTGGTTATTAGCACGAATGTGATTTTTTTTTTTTTAAAAACAAACCTGAATCCAAAGGTTTTTAAACTTGTCCAGTTTAATGCACCTCATTTGTATTTGTACTGAACTGTTTTGTTGCTTCTTTTTTTTTTTTTCTCCTGCAAATTACATTCAGCCCACACTAACACAAATACAAGGCCAGTATCGCCAGACGACACAGTTTAATTAACACTCTTCTTTCAACAGGGCTAGACATGTGGAGAGGTGCCTGAGGGGGCTGACGGTTTTTCATGCCGCAACAGTCAGCAAGCACCGACTGTACTCCGAATGGATTATTGTACACGGAGGATTTAACGTAAATATTGCTGTCCCATGTGAACTGCGTGCCGTGATTTCCTTGGCCAAAGGCAGTGAGCTTAAATTTGCAAATGATAAGACTAAAAGAAAAAAAACCCTTTTGAGTTTTCATAAATTTCTCCATGTTTTGGCCTCAGATCTACCTTATACCTGCAGACAAATGTAAATATTTAGTGCAGGGGTGCCAAATATAGTGGTCAGGGGCCAAAACTGGCCCGCTAGAGTGTTTAATCTGACCCACTTGAGGATTTTTTTTATTGTATTTGATTAAACATGAATAAATAAAAAAAAGTATGTAATGTACTGGTTTGCATGAAAACAAAGTCTAATTAGGTTGCATGCTGCCCATGAACCAAAAAAAGGGTGACACCCCTGCTTTAGTGCGTAGTAGTTGAAGTAGCATCTTCCGTTTTCATATTGTCCATTTTTATAACGCATTTAAAGATGACACACTGTCTGACTAAAAAAAAATAATATAGGAATTACATTACATTTCATTCTCCTCCAATGAGATTAGCAGCATGTAAGACACAGATTTCAATGAACCAAATGAATTATGTGAAATAAGATTTAGCCGCTATCGCAGTTAATCACCAAGGATCGACGGCACTGCCAGGAATAGATCATGTGGTAATTCAATTTCTGATATTATACGTGGAAACAATTTGATTCAGGGTAATTTGATAGAGACGCTCCTGCCGCTGGAAAAAAAAAAAAAGGATTTTGTTGACAAAATAACAAGCGGGTCAAAGATACGGTGTATCAGGTCACCCAGAACTGTTTTTACTCAACACGAAAAACTAAAACTCCAGCTGAACTAACGTTTTGGCCTCAGGAAAAAGACAAGACAGCAGTGGATGCTGAGCAGTGATAGACGGAGACCACATCTCTTTGTCTTCACACTGATGAACCAAACAGGCAATCTGTTAACGCCAAACACAGTACACTTGTCTCAGGACGGTGATATATTCGCAGAGTACAGAGCAACTCATTCAGCCTCTAATTTGCAGCGATGTGCTTAGATTTATCATCTGGCAGATGCTGGGGGTCTGCCACCCGCCACCCGGCCCCCCCCACACACACTCTAGTACACAGGTGCAGGTGTCGTAGGATGCGGTTTACAACTGTGACAATGATGGGAAACAGCTGGTCCAGGAGTCATTCCCTACGACCTCCACGCACTTGAATGGCAACCTCCGAATAAACCTGTCAGATGTGGTTAGGTACGGGCTGCTGTGGCGATTGCCAACACGGGCCACCTCCTCTCTGCTGCTAGCTGCTAAATATGTGTTGTTGACGCTAAAGTCCCAGTGGAACTTTCTCGGGGCTGTCGCGCGTCGGCTTTGTCGCTCGAGCCTAATGTATTCATCTCTGGCAGATGTTGATATTACAGACAGAGTCCCTTTAGACTGTGCAGGTACACTTAGAATCCAGATATTAATATTGACAACAGAGAGGAATGCACAGTTTTATAGCAGGTCGTCAAACAAACAAGTGGAAATGCTTGCTTGCTAATATAGATGGATGGATGGATGGATGGATGGATGGATGGATGGATGGATGGATGGATGGATAGATAGATAGATAGAGTTGTGTCCACTTCTTTCAGATAGTCCTTCATTTAAATTAATTATCTTTCGTTTAAAATCTTTTTTCCGTCTAGGTTTCCAGTCTTTTTTGAGTTTCCAAGATTCCGAAATAACAGCCTCCATTTTTTGCATCATGTCTGAATTGCCAGAGTCTTTCAGTGTGTTGCTATGATTCGTTCCGCCGTCGCAAAGGCAACAAATTAGCGCTGTGTGAAAGGAGGAGTAATTAGTGTCTTTTGACAACTTTATTGCATCACTGAACCAGAAAGAACTTGTCAAGCCCCCCAAAATGTTGGGCCTGTCGCAGATGATTAGCAAAATGAACACAGTCCAAAAATAAAGGGAGAATCAAGATGACAGAAAAAAAAAAAAAAAAAAAAAAGCTAAGACCAAAGAGATGAAAACCCTATCTTTTCATGTACTCACATATTCTCCGTAGGCGTCCTGGACGGGCGGAGGAGCCGGTCGGTATCCGGCAGCTGGTGGGGCACCTCTGGCTCTCTGCACGCCCCTCCCTCTGGAGGAAGGAGGCCGGCTGAGAGGAGTTCCTCTGGGCGCTGCTCCTCGGGGCACAGCTGCATGCAGGGAAGGAACTCCTCCTCGACTTCTGACACCAGACACAAACATCCGCACAAGGTTGAGATGAAAGAGAAGACATGTTTGTTTTATGTCTTTAAAAAAAAAAAAGTAGAATTAATTAGGTGCAGCAGTTAATATCCTCCTAAAACTCCATTTCACATGTTTCATAAGATAACATGAGATGTGATCTGTCTCTGTTGCCTTCTTTTCGATAACTAATATTCAACGTGGGCCAAATGACTTGGAGATGAATTCGATGCAGTCACTTTCAAAAGATACACGTGGGCGGAGAGAGGAAGAGCAAGGATGGAGGTTACATTTCCTCCTGGTCAGAAAGAGTGAGTCACATCCATGAAAAACATTAAAAAAAAAAAAAAAAAACACAAACACATAACTTGAGTTTTTGGCAATTTTTATAGCTTTAAAAAAATAATAAAATTAGTCAATTAATAAACAAATGATAAAAAGGCAAATACTGAAGATATTTAAAAAAATTAAATCCTACAAAATGAAATAAAATCTTCAGTACGGCAGGAAGCGCGGCTCTCACTTCCATCCTGACACTCGCTCCGTCACCTCTCTCTCTCTGACGTGTAGTCTGATAAACCAGAGGATCTTGCTGTATTTTGTTTGTTTGTTTCCTACAGTATTTCCCCTACATACAGCAGTTTATTTTTATATATATATATTTTTTTTTTTTCATCTCAAATGTTAGGGCAAAACAACTGTCTGTTACTGAAAGATGCTGATCTGTATCTGTAGATAAATTAACACTGTACCTCTGAAGACAAAACTGGTCTGTCATCAGAATGAGAGTGGAGCGCAGCGGCGCTCCTCCGTTTGGAATCAAAAGCTGTCTGAACCTGCTGTGCTGTTTAGAAAAGTTGCCTTTTTGAATCTGAGACGTCTCCTTAATTCACTTCACCAATCTGAGCTGCAGAGAAACCACCATAGGTGCTGCCCAGGTCGTTTTCCTCCTATGGTTCCTGTGTGAGGGCTGTGTTTATATATATATATAAATACTGCAGTGGAAGTGCATCGTAGATTTAGGGCAGAAGGACAAAAAAAAAAGTTCGAAAAACTGGAACTATCTGTTTTTCTGAATAACGAGGACAGCGAATGATGTTTACTTGATGGAAAATTAGGCCACCCCCATCTGGGGTGGTGGTGGTGGGAGGGCAGTCAACGGCCTTTCTTAAACAACTCAATTTCTCTTCTAGCAGCAGCTCTAGTCAAAGTGGAGGCGTAGAAGAGCAGATATACAAAGACCTTGCTGAGAAATGGTGAAGATCAGCACGGTACACGTGGGAATATCCGGGCTAATTGTACGATACTTCCTATTGGTAAACCCACGAGCGGCGCTGCGTTAGGCATGAAAAATGTTCATTTAAATACGGCTATTTTAATTCCACAAAGAAGTAGAAGAACATCTCCTTGAGCATCTCAAATCCGATCTCTAAATCTATCTAAAGACGTCATGTAACCATGTCCTTATCCTTGTCTTACAGTGCCGATAATTAATGCACGCAAACGGGCGTTTAAGTATTCCAACGACCTTGAGTATATTTATTTGTAGTGTTTGGAGACCTCAGGGGAAGCGAGTTAGCAAGGTTGTACTGGTTAAAGACCTAGAAACCTTCAGCTGGATGGCATATACAGTACATACGTAGTGAAAGCTACGAGTACCTGTTTTATTTGGTAGGTTCAAAACAGTACCACAGTTCCTTTAAAGACAAACTCTGACATGCAAACTAGCCCCGGCTTTAGACATATTCCATTTGATGTCACTAGTTTTCCTTTTCTTTCTCCAGTGAGGAAGAAACAGACTAATTTAAAGTGTATCAGCTTTCTGCGTAGTTCCAGGCTGCAAGAAAAAGCACTTTGTAGCTGTTTGCCAATCATCATCTGTTGTTTCTCCCTTTATGGTTAATTCCAAAAGAAGCCTGAGACACGAAGTAACAAATATCTGAGCTCATGTTCCCATCTTCAGAAGACACCGCATCGCCCCCAGTCTTTTTTCTTTAAAAAAATAAGAGAAACGACTCCAAGAAGACGGCGGTAACTTGTCACATTATACCAAATATTTGACGAGCGTCTGAAGTTTGGTTCTCAATTTGTGCCAAAATGTGATTATACACTGGTCTCCGTCAGTCAGCTAATACCTCAGAAGTCTTCAGTAACAGAGACTGTGTATACTGTAGTCTGAGCATCGCAGGCTGCGGCAAATGCACTCCAGCCATTACTTTGATTCAGTAACTATTATTAACAATTTGATGACTTTGTTGGGTAAAATAATATTGGACTTACAGTAGAAAGTACTGGGACACAGCACTGTCTTTTCTCTATATGCTCAAAGTGCATTGCTGATAAATGAAACTAGACTCAGTCATAAATAAAAAAAATAAAAAAGTCATACATTTTTACCACTGCCATTAAAAATTACTGCCAGTGGAGACCCCGAGACTAAACCGCAAAAGCCTTGAGATCCCAGCACGGGTTAGTGAAGTCAATGTTATCAATTTGTGCAGTTTTTGAGCTATTACACAAACTGCAGCTTTGTTGCCTGGTAATAATTTTTAAAAAAGCAAATAAAAAAAACCCCAACATTTTCACATAGTCAAAATACTCTGCTGACTCTTAAACATAATGGCTTTATCAACCTAACCTGCTGTAAGTCAATTCTTCCAATCTGTTTTTATGCACTCCCTCTTTTCCTCTATCGTTTCACTGCTACCTATTTCTTTCAAACGCTCTCATGTGTCGCCCCCTTCTGAGGGGCAGTCCTTGGATTAGAGTGGGAGCCGACTGTGTAATGAGCTGTGGCCCGAGCAAATCAAGAGTGAGCATGGTACAACTGCTGCCAACATTTGGCCTGACATGTTTGGTAAAACAAACAACCAGACTCATTGACACAAAAAGTAACTTTTTTTAAAGTGTTATATACACATCCAAGCATGAAAACAAACAGTGGATTACCTGGGAGGCCCAGGCACAGGTGTCCCTCTCGCACGGGCGACCGACTTGCCCCTCACCGACGGCACCTTGGCGTCCTCCGAGCCACCATTCAAGTACGTGAGCTCCTGCAGCTGGGCCTGTCTGATCTCATCATTGTAATCCTGCGCACAGAGATGGCATTATCACGCACAGACTTCCACACAGCCCCAGACAGCCGTAGCCTCACTTTCATTTACTCTGTATTGAATTACAGTCTTTATCTCCAGGGCTGCAGCCCCAGGAATATCTAATTAATGTTACGTTACTGTATTACTACGACTGCTGCTACTGAAGATGCTAAACATTATAGATCTCCTGTTGATAAATCCTCAAAATCTCATTTGCCATAATCTTGTTTTGTTTTTTTTCTTTTCTTTTCTTCAGACGGTAATTCTAGCACATAATTAAAATGGAACAGTTCTTGCGTCATATAAAGGATTGGATCGCCGTATGAATTGAGGGATATTTCTGCAGGGAGCAAGTGAGAGAAATGACACGCGGTGGTAGCTACGGCATAATTAATGTTGAGATGTAAATCATCATAGCTTCAAACATAGGAGAGATTATTCATAATAAATGTAGAGAGAGCATATATGCTCCTCACTGCCAAGGAGGGTTAGCTTCTGCAGGAGACTTTTAATCCTGTGAATGAAACATTTCTTTATCAGATACTCTCTACATAAACAGCCACCTTAATACACAAAAAGTGATCTTTCAAATGTAGCATAGTACAGGATTCAGCTTAAAATCTGCAAAGTAATGTATAGGCATATCGAAATGTTAGCTTCAAATCAGTAATTTCACAATCAATCAGTTAATGTGCACGGTCGACAACATACTGGTATCAAAAACTTCTTGATCTCCTCCAGAGCGTGACCCATCCTGGCGTAGGCCTCGGCGGGAGGTGCGAACACCTCGATGAGAACGTGCAGGTCTTCATTCAGGTGGTGATATTTGGCCTCGCCGCTCTGCCGTAGCTCTTCTTCCTGATAATAAAAAAAAAAGAAGAGAGGAATCTGTATGTAAATGATGTTCATTTTGTTAAAGTACAAGATAAACTAAGTAGTTGGTACTGCTGAGCTGGATTCTGCTTTAAGCACCTACGGAGAATACATTTGTTACATTAAGATTAACCTGCTGAAAGTGGAGCGGATGTGACCTGTTGCTTCGTTCCCAGCTGTGACGGTGAAGTACAGTTCACTTTGACTGTTACAGGAAATGTAAACAGTGAGGTGGCACACAGGCCAATGGGGCCCGTGAAAGAAGCAGGCCAGTATGATGTTATTGATGGCAGGAAATAGGACAGCGAACGCTCCAAAATGTCTCCCACCCATAATGCACATAGGAACCAACAGGTTTTGTGTCCCACTTTCTCCTCCTCTTTAAAAAAAAAAGAAAAAAAGAGAAAAGTCTTCTCTGGGGCTTGTGGAATAACTGTAACTTCCTCTCTCCATACTCTCCCACCAGCGCAATGGAAGCCAGTGTCTCTGATGTCACCTAATTATAAATAACCTTCTTTTAAGTGTGCCTGTGGTATGTTAATGATATGTTAATTTCCTCCATAAATCTGCACCTTATGAGCAGAGGGCTGCGCAGCACGTAGAGGCAGTGCTGACGGTGATGAGCACGGAGACGGGCCACACCATGCACAGCTCTCCTGGCCTTTTTACTGTGTTTGTACGGCAGAGCGGAATGCAAATATTATCTGGTTCTTTAGTTATGACTTTTTAGTAAAAAAAAAACAACAAATAAGCACTTACCATTGGAAGGTTGTTATTTTAGAACAGGCTTCAGTTGTAAAATTTACAACATGTTGCTGTTGTAAATTTTTTGTTCAAATATAAATATATATGAAGTTTTTAAGTTGAAGTTCCTTTAATTACAAAAAAATTGAAAAGAATATTTTTTTTCTTAAGTGAGGTAAACCACAACAACTAATCCAAGACTCTCCAACTGCTTGGTGAGTTGATATTAACAGAGAGTCACAGGTGAGAGAGATGAAGCTGGTTAACGAGCTCAACGAGGAGAGACAGACAGAGCTGAGTTAGACTACAGCAGCAGCAGTAGAACTGGGAGAGAGAGATGGATGGATGGAGAGATAGATGGATGGATGGAGCGATAGATAGATAGATAGATAGATAGATAGATAGATAGATAGATAGATAGATAGATAGATAGATAGATAGATAGATAGATAGATAGATAGATAGTCATATTTGGAAGAGGTGACACGTGTTCATGGAGCAGAAAGGCAGAGATAACAGCAGTCCTAATAGGGAGTAGGGCGTGGAACACAGATGCTTTACATCATCCCGCTGTGACAGCAGCAGGACAGGGGAGGCGTCACAAGCAGGCGGAGAGAATCTGACTCCAACACTTCACTGCTTTAATGTCAAGGTCTTCCAGGTGCTAATATTTGAGTAATTACCATTGAGCCCAAAAACAGGAAAACATTGTAGGTAGTGAGGTAGGTAGTTCTCAACTCCAGCCCATGGATTCTAAAATAATGATCACGTCTTTATTACAGGATGCAGTTTTAACCCATGTTATACTGCTGGAACTCTTGTTCACTTCAACTCTGCATCGATTTGGTTGCTTTAACCTACACAGAGAATTTTAAATGGCGAGCGCTACAATGAGACATGCTGCTGCACAGCTGCAAAGAGACAGTCAGCAAGCGGCTGAAGATGAAGCAGCGCTTTTGTCGGAGAGGGTGCATGCCTCCTCCTCCTCCTCCTTCTCCTCCTTCCCTTCCAAAGAAAGAAGATGAGGTTCTGCACTGTACAGAGAAGGTTGTCACTCATAAATCCCAACGCAGATTTGTGCAGGCAGGTGAGGCCTGCCGAGGTCAGCACATCTCTCTGACAGATCTTTTTTTTTTTTTTTCCTGCAGATGCTCTGAGGGAGTCGAGTGGCAAAAACTATTAATACAAGTAATCTGGAAGAATGAGCTATTAAAAAAAAAAATAAAATAAAATAAAATATGAAAATGAAAAAAAAAACAAAGACAGATCACTTTTTACACTCTTACCTTTTCTTTGTCTCTCATGGATCCTTTCCCGAGAATCGACATCTTGGTGAGAGTGTCCTCCTGTAGTCTCTTTAACGAGTTCCCGCGTGGCCCCAGGAGTTTGCCGACAAAGTTAAACTGCAACACAGACGGAGAGTAAAGACATCTGTCAAGTCAGCCCCTTACAGCCCCCACCATGTGGCTGAGGCTAATGAAAATGCATGAGCCGTTTGATGGAATCTCTATAGAGGCGTGTCTGAGGTGTGTCTTTGAGCAAGGTCAAGGGGTCAGCCCTCATCCACAGATACTGTCTGCATGATTTCTTTTTCCAAAGGCAGCAAAATCATTAACTAGGGTTTAGTTATTAATGAAGACTAGCCTAGGTTAAGATCTTAACACGTTTTTAGAATGATGTGTTTGAGATCCGATGTGAAGTGGGCCGGACCAGTACAATCATAACATAATTACACATATATATAACATGTTTCCCCCCTTTGTTTTCCTGCAAATTATATTCAAAAATACACATATTTAATTAAAAAGTAATTTGAAAAAACATCACCAACATGAAGCATTTTTTTCACTTTCAAAATTCATCAAGCGGACCGGATTTAACCCCCTAGTGGGCTGGTTTTGGGCCACGGCCTGTATGTTCACAACACCTGAACTTGATTGTTAGGGACTATGGACTGACCAATATTGTTGCTTGGTTTGAACCGTTCAAAAGTAACAGTCAAGATGCATAGTACGTAGACACACACATATAGATATGCAACACCATGTCAACAACAGCACTTCCCTTCAGAAGTGAATTCCACAAATGTCTCCCACAACTGTTTTCATCATCAGTGAGCTAGTTTAGCTTGGCACTTCTTGGCCAATTCCTGGGTGAGGGATTTAGGAGGTGAGCTTCAGAGAGTCGCACTAATGCACTAACTGGCCGTTGCATTTTCTACCTTCGCTCGGCTGGAGTGTACTTCTCAGGTGCTCCGTGCACCACACTTAACACCGAGTCCTCTGACTGCACAGACCTTACTCCACAGGAAAAAATACTTTGTCCCACTGTGCTAATTCCACCCCTGCATTCTCAATGGGGAATTTGTGGCTTCCTGCTAAGATTTAACCTTGGCATATCCAAAGTCAGGTCATTATAGTGTGCAGAGTGACACGTCAACCGAAAATGACCGCTAAAAAGACGTCCGGAGAAAACACGGGGTTTCAGGGAACTGTGTTCGACTGTGCAGCGTTTCCCCCCCCCTTGTCCTGCGCCTCCATCATTACTACCTGGAGAGAACCTTGATCACTGAACTGTGCTGTCTGCAGAACAATGATTTGCAGAGCCCGATCACTCAGCTGATGTTACTACAGCCTTTGTGCACCCGTGGCGTCTGACAAGTGGAGTTCAGGGAAAAGGAGCATGGGCCGGTGTCCTGATGATAATAAGATTTTTAAAAAAATGCACACTGTGAAACCGATTCAAATGAAGATGTGAACAGACACGATATGAAGAAAACAAGGACACGTCCCGTCGAGCTGAGGCCTTAACATAATTCCTCAGTGTTGCAGCATTGGTCGTGCAGATAGTGCATAATTAAAAAGAAGTATATGTGTTAATTAGAAAAGCAGTGACAACTGAATCAAATCTGTCCTGTGATAATGAATTCAGGCAGAGCCTCCAGAGTCATTAAAATGCCATAAAATAATCCTATTTACCAAATGTAATTATGTTGTTGCAGCTGTAAGGAGTCCAGGTAATCCAAGTCGATTGTCTTGTAGTGGAAGAAAAAAAATTGCAGTTTTTATTATTAATCATAAATATTTTTTTTAATTAAAAATCATCCTTTATTTTGAATTGTTTTTGTGTCATAGAACATTGCAAAGTTAGGTTCGTCAATCACCAGATACCGACCCTGGCCTGGATCAAGCTAGTCCAGTCAAATAAGTTAGCACTGAGCGTGTACTACACATGTAAGGCATGTACTGTCATCTGGAGGCTGATGTGACTCACCAGGTTCACAGCCGAACACATTTGCTTTGACAGCTTTGATAAGTCGAACCACTAATATGCTGTTTAGAGCTCCAACAAGCCACCGAAGGAAGACAAATTCAATTTGTTCTATCTGACAGGTAGCAATGGCAAGAGCGATCGCTTTGACTCCAACGGGTTTTTCTCCTGTGCTGCACATATCACCTTTTTGGCTTTTGGCACTGAAGTGGCAAAAGCCGTTTCCCAAATAGACATTTAGAGGCATGTGCAGAGAGGGGTTAGATCCATCCACGGCAAACGTGGCTTCACATCAAAAGAAGGCTACGGACGCCGCGCCCTCACGTTCCGCGTTGCTGATTCCCTGTGATAGAGCTGTTCTTCAGCAGTGATTTTTAAAAACCAAACGCTGATGGATTTCTTCACTTCCTGTCACATCTGCAGGAGTTATGTTTCAGCAGTGCCACCGGTCGGGTTCTGTTGACATAACAGATCCTTAGAAACTACAGAGATTTGGCTTTTCACGCTTTTTTTTTTGAGGGTCCTATAATAATATAATTTAAAGATGGCTTCAAAATTCTACTATAGTATATCACAAATTAATTGGCTATACATGCATTTTAAGTGAAAAATGACTCTTTTATAACCACATTTTTCCCTGTCATATATTTCCTGTTGATGCTGGAATTTTTCACTTTGTGTGGACAGAGGCATTTTTCTTTTCCGTAATAACCTTCACCCCCAAAATATGAAACACAAGCTGTGGATATTTTTTTCTCCGTTCAGACTAAAGAAACATGTCGACTCACGATGACAATTCCTCACACTACACACCATGAAACATATAGAAGACTGACTCCTAGGCTAACAAAACTAGCTCCCCTGTTGTTTGTTAAATTACCGGTACTTTATTTCCACAAAATAAAGTGTAGCTAGTGAGTAGAAAGACCTAGGAAAAAGGCAAGACTGGAAACTGCTGGGGGAATGTGCATTACCTTTAAGCCTGCTGCATTAAAACTGTCATGCTGCAGTGATAAGGGTATCAGCCTGGATATACTGTAATACCACAGTCCAGAATTTACGATGACAGGAGAGATAGATAGATAGATAGGCTGTGCAGGTACACTTAAAATATAGATATTAATATTGACAACAAAGAGGAATGCACACTTTTATAGCACATATATCCAAACAAATAACTGTAAATCTAACTAATTATGCTGCCCTCCTTTAATTCCAAACAAAAATAAAAATAAAATAATAGCATTTTTTTTTTTTGCCCCAGTGAGGTAAACCAAAACAACTAATCCAAGACTCTAGAATTGCTTGGTGAGTTGATATGACTGATTAACAGAGAGTCACAGGTGAGAGAGATGAAGCTGGTTAACGAGCTCAACGAGGAGAGACAGACAGAGCTGAGTTAGACTACAGCAGCAGCAGTAGAACTGGGAGAGAGAGATGGATGGATGGAGAGATAGATGGATAGATAGATAGATAGGTAGATAGATAGATAGGTAGATAGATAGATAGATGGATAGATAGATAGATAGTTTTTTTTTGGTAAAACTTACACACTTACACAGTGGACCTTTCAATAAATCTAAAATTAAAATAAAAAATACACATGACAGTTCTTGTTAGAACTCCCCCTGCGGTCATTTAATTATGCAGTGTGCGATTTCATTGAGCTGTTATTTTTCTACAAAAACCTTGTCTGTGAAGAAAAAAATAATAATTAAAAAATGAAATAAAATGTTAAAAAATCACACGTGCGCTTCAAATTAAATTAAATAGACACGTGTGAGACAAAGCTTTGTCTTTTTCAGCTGTAATTGACCAAAGCATCTGAGTTTAAAGTGTTTAATTCAGGAGAGCACTACAAACTAAAAGCCCACCACAGCAGCAGGCTCACTGTACGTACACGGTTTAAGTTAGGGGAGAAAAATACCAGCTTTTCGTGTCACACCATCTCAGAATTGAAAATAACCCAAGCTTCCACCAGAATTTTTTTTTTTTTCCTTCGCCTGTTTAACTGCTGGATCTTTAAGTCCCCGTCTTAGAAAGCATCCTCTGGCAGAACTGTAGGCCATTAGCGATGCGTAAGGAGTCCCACTGGTTTATTTCCAGTTCAGATTGTGGCTTTTTTTTCTGCGCCGGGTTTGGTGATTTGTCCTCGTGCTGTCATCGCTGTCCTGCTGTCCTCAGCACAATCACTAAGGCTGGCTGACTGGCTCTGGGCGAGCCCACCTATCAGCAGCTTTGCAATAATACATTCAGGCCATGATGGAAATATCTAAGATGCCCACCCCCCTGTGTTAAGTATGAGTAATGACACGTGCGTTTCCTATGGACTGAGGTCTTCATTTATTTCACCACACAACGAGGACGGAGGAAAAATAAATAATTAAACCAAATTTCCTGTGGTTTAACTGCTCTTTTGTTTTGTTGTTTTTGGTAGTTTTGGTCTTTTTTAATTTTTTTTTTTTCTTTTGCTGGAGCTACGCCGTGGCAGCGCAGCAGGCAACAACCTGTGATTAAACACATCAGCTTTTGTTCTGGTGATTACAGGCAGCGGCAGAATCCTCTCACAAAGCCTAATGACATGAACCAGTGCATGAGCCCAGGAAGGATTTTTCTTTTTTTTTTTTTCATGAACCACATAATCCTCTGTGATAACCAAAGCATTAGCAGAAACCCAGCCAGAGTTTGATATTTGATAAACAGCAGGGATTAGAGTTATGTGTTTAGTGAGACTCATAGATTTGTACTGTCCATACTAGGAGACGAGTGTGTGTGAGAGAGAGAGACAGAGAGAGGGAGAGGGAGGGGGAGAGACGGGTATTGACTTGCTGCTGATGTGTTTAAATATAAAGATTAAGACTTCTGTCTGACATTTACTGCTATTAGTTGTATAAACATGAGACAAATCTCATGATTTCTTTCTAAATAGTCCTGGTACTAAAATAGAGCCCAGTCCAATATCTCTACATCATGCTCAATAGTCCGGTGTGTTTTGGAGAGAATGCATAATATGAGAACAGTTTGTAAAAACCCATTCCCCTGCTCACATAAAGCAGCGCCTGTTTACAGAGCCTGGAATTGTCCATGGGCTGCAGGGACAATTGACTTTCTTGTTTATTCTTTTTTCCTTCCGTGGCGCTGTGGAGCCGGCCGTCTTTCAACTGAGGCTTGGCTGGACTATATGCCGATGTGTCCCTGGGTTTTTGGATAACTTGGATATAACTCTGTGAGTCAGGCTGTTGAGCTGTCCAGAGTTTATTGGGTCTTAAAAAAAGTTTTTATTCTGGTGCAAAATATTACCAAAAGCCATTTGAACAACTGTAAAGAAAAAAAAAAAAAGCTAAAATGTTCTAATTCTAATTTAAAATGTTACTATAAGCCATTTGAACAACATGCAAAAAAAAAATGCAAAAATGAAAAAGAAAAGTTCAACATATTACCATAAGCCATTTGAACAGTTGTAAAGAAAAAAAATGCAGAAATATTTTTATTCAAATTCAAAATATTACCATAATCCAATTTGTCATAATTGTAAAATAAAAACGCAAAAATGTTTTTTAGTCTACTTTAAATTATTACCATATTCCATTTAAACAATTGTCAAAAAAATACGCAAAAATGTTTTTTTATTCTACTTCAAAATAACACCATATGCCATTTAAACAATTTAAAAAAAGCAATAATTAACGTTTGCTGCCACTGCTCTTCAAGTGTGGTGTCAGTGTACGTCTAGGATTTTAACACAAATTAAATATTTGCACACACCAATAAATTCAAATAACAGATTATTTTCCCCAGATGACTGACCTGTTTAAATTATCGAGTGAAAGTGAAAACTAATATAAAAGCTGATATGTTGCTGATTTTGACAATTAGCAACTTGCTGCATTATTTTACAGTGCATGTCATTTGAAACAAAAAAAAAAAAACAAAAAAAAAAGAGTTGTGTGACTGAACCAACGGAAAGCTGAACCAAAAGAATTCCCTCAAAGGCACCTGGCTTTGCTGCGTTTGATGCAGATCTCCAGCATCCACTAACAGCAGGTATTCAATATCCTCACTGGTGTTGCTCTGTATGGATGTCTTTGTACTGCATCAAAGCGGTTCTCACCTTTACATCAGCCCTTCCTCCTCCCCTCCCTCCCAGCGGTATACGCATGTCATGCAGGAAATGTGTGGCGCCAATAAACTGCTGTGTGTCTCCTTGTGGTGGCTGAGGCTCAGAGTGCTCTTAAAAGAGGAAACTGCTGAAGATGTCTTTACATTGAGGTAATCGAGACGCCGGTCGCCTTGAACTCAACACCTGTGGCTTTCGTGCGACTTCACTCTCACCGTGTAGGCTATCAATTTAATATGAGATCTCCAAAAGACCTGCAACTGTGTACTGTATATGTGGAATATCAGCAACAACGGCGAGATCCTGACAATAGAACCAGGAGGAACAAAACTCTGGTTGTTCTTTTTGTTCATTCACCAGGGGTGAAATCATTGGAGGCTTGGTTGTTTTTTTAATGCATCAAACTTTTTCATACTCTGTACCACCTGTGATCCCATGATTCCTTGCATTGCACACGTACCACTGGTGGTACACGTACCACAGTTTGAGAACCACCACATTAGACTACTAATGTTAAATGTTGTCATAACAATGCTGTTGCATACATTTAATCAGCCTACTGTACAATGGTAAGAATAGGATGTAATGATTTTATCGGTATTTGAACATCCTTTGTAAAAAAAAAAAAATTATGGAACTCAGAAAATTAGAGGGAAGATAAGCAAGAAAAAAAAAAGCTAAAAAAAATTCAGTGTTGAAAACATGTTCGTTAATAATTATCTTTTGCAAAGCAAATGTAATAATTGTTGAAAAGTGAACAAAGGTAAGAAATACATGCTAAAAGTTGATGGTTTTTTTTACATAATTTGCAGCATATTTATATATATATATATATATATATATGTGTATATGTATATATATATACATATACATATATATATATATATTTGGGGGGGTTCTGTCTCTGCTTTTCAAAATGTGATATTCAGACTGCAGGTAAAACAGTATCATGGTAATATACTTCCATGACTGCAAGTACAAAAAGACAGGGAACGTATCCACACCAGGGTTCATTGTTGTACATCTGACACTGACGCTCCAGCCACTACAGTGTGTGTGTGTGTGAGTCATGTGAACACAAGCTGAGTGTTTCTCACTTCAGCTATTTTCTCATGAGTTTGTTAAAAGTGTCGTAGCTTAGACAATAATAATATGCTAATACCAACAACACTCCATGTAGTACGTAACTTCTAATTGTTACTGTCGTCAGTGGTAGTGCGAGGATTAGGATTTTTTTTTTTTTTTTTATAGACAGGAAGTTACACCCTTAATATAGTTCTATCCCAGTTCTGTCAGACACCGCTCTGCCCGAACACTGCCTTCCGCATATGCTACATCTAATAAGATAAAGCGTCAACAAAAACTGTCAAGTGGCTGATGTAAGGAGCGCAAATCAAAACCAGAGCAACCCAAGTTGGCGTCATTATCTATAAATAAGCCTAACTAAAAAAATGTTCTGCCTGTGCACATCACATTCTTGGAGAAGTCTCTGGTGGTGGTGGTATTGCAGTACTTACTTTAGGAAACTGCTTGACTGGTATTAAAACTTTCTGGCCCAGTTTCATGTTTTTGTTGATGACAACATCAATGAACTTCTCCTCTTCTTTGCCCTCGTCTTTTTGAGTCCTTTCAATCTCTACAGGAAGGAGAAAAGAAAAAAAGTAATCAATCAGGTATGAAAAGCAGCAGTGACACAGTAAAAAAAAGAAACAACACAAATCGAACAAACTTCATTATTTTGTTTGTATTTTCTGCCTGTGTCTGACAACGGCCAACTCCGTCACTGTAAATCATTGACTGTGGCTCTAAAATTATCAAATTGATGGATGTTTTTTTTTTTTGCAGCATAATCAATATTTTTATCCCCAGTATCCAATTCTTGTAAGTTTAAAGAGAGAAAAAAGAAGGGCGTGACTTGAAGATGAAGTATCAATTGTTCCTCCAAGCTTTTATTTATGGTAAACAACAATGATCGAGCCTTTAATGCAGGCGTGTGTGAGATAACGTCAGTGTAAAAGTACGATGAACCCAAACTGATCCACATCCAGCGTGTAACCATTCTCTCTTACCAACTGCACTTCATTTAAAGCTGAGAAGAATATATTAGCACTGCAAATGAGAGAGAAAAAAAAAAGAAAAAATAACAAAACATTTTTTTAAACAAAGCTGTGCAGCAGTTCATGTGTAGAATGTAATTAAAACATAGACAAGGATGAGCTGGAGATATCTCTAAGCTTTCGTTTATCCTGTGGGGGCATCGGGGGAGACGGTGCACACGTTCCGAGAAAAGACAACATCAATATTAATGAGCTGTCTCGCAGTATTCCTAGATGGATATTCCTCCTTCCACCAGGTGTGTCAATAAAATATTAAGAATGAAATACTGGGGGATTAAGAACAGAGAGCGTTTGAAATAAAAAACATCTTTAGCATTTTTAATATCTCTTCAGGTATCTGTTAGCACGACCGTACGTATCCTGGACTTTCAGTCATTTTGGAGTGCTTGGAAAAAAACAAAAAAGCTGTGATCATGCATCGCTGCTGCAGGCACAGTGAGTCCCTTCATCAGACTGTAAATGGATAGTGAATAGCGTGAATCAGCGCCGCAAAACCATGGAACTTGAAAAAAAAAAGAAAAAAAGAAAACCCAAGTGAAGGTGCTACCCATCATCCTCCTGGCTGCTATTTATAAGGCCGATACGCTTCTCACATGCAGCGACAGTGTCGACGAAGGAAGTTGGGCGACAAGTGATGTGAAATCATAGGATAAATTAAGCTCCTGCAACTCAAGACCCACAGAAATACATTTTCTGATTTTCTCAATGGTTCATCCTGAGTCTATAAGTTCTAGAAAAGTCTTGGGTATATACAGGGTTTCGTCATCATGAGCACCGGTATGGACAATTTCTCAACTAAATGTTAGCGCCTACTGTATATATAGTGTCAATTTTGTAAAAATAATTTAAAAAAAATTATAATAATAAATAAAAAAATGTTTGAGGATTTATATTGAATTAATAAATAAATAGTTTACATTTTTTAATATTAAATTCATAGTTAGGTATTATTACATTTCAAATGTACCCTTCAGTTAGAACTCACATACTTTTGGGTAGTACTTATGTCACTCACCTACACTAATACAGTGGTCACATCATAATGTGGGACGTGAAGACATCAGAAAAGTCTAACTTACACTTGAGACTTACATGAAGGACAAAAAGTTCCTAAAAAAACAAGGAGAGAAAGTGAAGGCAGCACGATCCAATGTATTTTTAAGCTTTTATGTCATGATTAAATGCAAAATTGTGGAAAAAAAAATACAAGATTTGGTGACAATTGGTTTTTATGAGACATGTCTCAGTACCATTTTATTTTAAACATGACCTCAATGAATAAAAAAAAAAAATAAATCGGCAACATGCCCTACATCCATATATAAGGTGTGATACTGTAAGGTGTGATACTGTAAGGTGATGTTGGCATCATTTCACCTCACACTCTGACAGCGTGCGTGACACAGTAACCCCCTTTCCTGAAATTCTCTTTGCATACGTGCGTTTCTGCCACACCTCCACGCCGCACCTGTCACGCTCTGCCTCGCCACACCTTCCTGTCGGCTCGTTCCTGGCAATCATCTCCCTCACCTTCACCTGGGCGACCAGCTGCTGCCCATCAGCCCGCTGCTATTTATACCTCCCAGTGCTTCACCTTGGAGCTGGTCTGTTCCTTTGTTTGATGAATTGAAGATTCATAGTAGGGTTTTTTTTTTTCTTTTTTGCTCTTTTGTTATATTGTTTGCCTGAATGAGTGTTTTGGTAAAACATGCAGATTAGATAAAGCCAACAGCACGTAGCCTCAGTGCAGACAGAAAATGTGTCACTTTTGTTTATCCTCATTATTTTGTGACTAAAAGCCGAGACAGCGCCGCAGCCAGGTGGGCGTGTTTAATGATTGTGTTCGCGGAGCCTCAGTTGAAGATAAACACTGTTTTGGAAATTCAGTTCTGAGACCGTAACAAACCTTGTGTGCATCACGCTGCCTGGTTGGTAAAGCTGTGGGCAGACTTTTATTTAAACTAAAAAAAAAAATTTCAAAGTCTGAGAGTTATTTAAATTCTGGCGAAAATAAAATCACCATGCCAGTAGAGTGGCCGAACCCTAATTGTGTTCCCTAAAAATTATGCGACTCTTTTAATTGGTAATAGAATCGGAGAGTTGCAACGTGTTGATGGATTCCTTTAATTTATTTCATTGCCAAAACATCTATCCACATGTCGCAGCGAAACACGCTAATGCACTGGTGAAAATGACTTTTTATGAGCGTTTGCTTTCCAAATTAGGCTGATCACCGTACTATAATTACTGTTACCAGTTTGTGTTGCCCTAATTTAACAGAGAACTATTCCAGTCGGTGAGCACTATAATAAAACAAACAAATATAAATCTGGAATTGCCCTTTAATTCTGCTAAAAATTGCATTTTTGTTCATATTTAACTGGACAGAATAAACAGTTACAAACTGTTCAAACAGGAAGCAGGCTACATTGATCCCGCCAGTGGGCCGGTTTTGGCCTGCGGGCCCTATTTTTGACACCCATGCACTAACAGCTACCTCATGACTGTGGCCAGAAACATGTGCCCCCAGTGGGACCACGTACATCCAGTTTGACCCCAGAAAGGGGAACACGAATGCTGCAATAACGAAATAAATAAATACGGCCCCGGACACGCTCCTGTCCTGAAATCTCAATTTCACTCTGGCTTCTCCGTTGCCTTGACAAGGTCAGGCTGCCGGCAGAAATTTGTTTCGCCTCCCCGTCCGCCCCACCCTAATCTAGAGATTACATTCTCGTCAGCTGGGTGAAACTGTCCGTCCTTCGTCTTCCCTTTCCTCCCCCCTTCCCCCCTTCCTCCCTCCGTTCTCCCTGCAACCCCTGCCAGTCTGGCTCCCTCTCTGCTGAGAGGTAACGAGCCAAGGCCCGCTTACAGTGTGCAGATAATGTGCACGGATTAAGACCGAGAACCTCTGGAGTGGCGGCGCTTTCCTTTCAGTGTCCGACCGGTGGGGCGTCGTGCAGACGTCCAGCCGCAGACTCTAATCTGTGGATCTGTGTGGAAGTCTCAAACTGAGTCCACGGGGGGCAGCGCTCTTGTCTTACAGCAAGATTACCTGTTCAAGCCTCGGCTCTATCTGATGGAGTTGTACACGAGGATTCTCCTTGTGTCTAAATGTGTGTGTGTGTTTGATGTTTGTGTCAAACCTCAAAGGTGAAGTACTAAGCACTGTTTGAATATCAGCGATATAAATATTACAAAGTGATATTCCTGTGCTGTACTAGGTAAAATACTGTGAGATGATGCTAATAGGCTAACACGGACGCACAAGTCAGTCACGTTTACGTGGATACGTTGCCATCTCAACAAACTGCCTTTTCTAAGCCTTTATCTCATACTAAAAAATTATATTAGAAAAAAAAATCTGAAAATTCTGAATTGAGGCTAGCCACTAATAAATTTGTGAATGAGACACACTTTACAATTTGCTGACTACACGATTTACAGCAGCCGTATCCCTGAGCGTCATAAAGTAGCGGAACAAATTAAATGGCTCTCAAGCTGCGGAAAGTGTTAAAAAAATAAATGACTAAATTGAAGATACGTACTTCTGTTTACTCTGTAATATTTCCCTAAAGATTTGATTGTAATTTCAGTCCGTTGAGAAGAGGATTAGATTGCTCTGTTGGAATATTGGAGTGAAACTGTTCACAACTGATGAACTAAAATGATGAAATAAAAAAGAATAGAAAATAACAATTTAATAAATGACTTGATGTCATTTCTTTTCTAACCATAAACTGAGACTGCGTTCAAACCAATGCTGTCTCCAAAAGACGTTCTCCGTCTTGGCAAAAAATAAATCAAAGCAGGAACGTGTTTTCAATTCTATATAAAACCCGCCCTGAGGAACAGTGTCATTAACAAATGTGATTGTGATACCTCACAAGAATCTTGTCTGATCCTCAAACACACACACACTCACACACACACACACTTCCTCTGTGCTCCTTTCACGTTGCGACTTAAATGAATTACTGTCTTTGTCTAAGGCTCCTGATGCCATCCCTGTAACCCACTGTCTGCACACCATGGCAGAGCAGGTTACATCATCACCTGAGCATATGCTCTTGACTGTGTATTAATTGGTAATAAATCAGTTGTCAGGTCACAGGAAGACCTTAACATTTTTTTTTTCTTTCTGCAGGGTAACTCGACATAAAAGGGACAAAACAGACGCACTTTATTTCACAATTAGCATAAGCTGATATTTATCGCTCTGACATACTATTTCCTAATGAAGTTTCCCATAAAAGTGTCGTTAGAGTGTCTGGGGGGGGGGGGGGGGTTTGGGGGAGAAAATGAAAGTGCAGCCTAATGTACGTTGTTATTTTCCAATGGATCCCAAAGCTGCATTATTCAAATATGTGGAGTCGCCACGACAACCAGACCATCTGGGTTTGATATTTCAATCACTCTTCAGGTAGAAGTACAGATAGTTTGGATAAACAGAAGAAGAACGTCCACAACAAGTCAGCAGAGCAAAAAGCAAGAAGCAGTGGTCCAAAAAATGACCACT